CACATCGGGAGGCGTCCGGGGCTTACAGAGTCCTAGAGTCATTCAGGTTGGAAAAGACCTCTAAGGTCATCAAGTCCAACCATCAGCCCAACACAACCATGACCACTAAACCATGTCCCTAAGTCCCACGTCCATACGTTTTTTTGAACCTCGCCAGGGTTGAGGACTCCACCATCTCCCTGGGCAGCCTAGTCCAATGCTTTGCCATGCTTTTAGTGAAGAGATTCTTCCTGCTGTGCAATCTGAACCTCCCCTGGCACAACTTAAGGCCATTTCTTCTCGTAGCTAGTAGGTTGGGAGAAGAGACCAACCCGCACCTTACTCCAGCCTCCTTTCAGGAAGTTGTAGAGCACAATAAGGTGTCCCCTTAGCCTACTCTTTTCTAAGCTAGACACTCCCAGTTTCCTCAGCCACTCTTCACAAGACATGTTCCCCACGCCCCTCACCAGCCCCTCACTGTCTTTCTTGCACTGTGGCCCCCAAAACTGAATGCAGTACTCGAGCTGTGGCCTCCCCAGTGCCAAGTGAAGGGACACAATCACTTCTCTCCTCCTGCTGGACACACTCTTTTTGATACAGGCCAGGATGCTGGTGCTTGCCTTGGCCACCTGGGCATAAGAAGGTTGCTCTTCAGGTGCTTGTGATGCGGTGACACACAGTGGTGACTGGTTAATGCTGCCAGGTGACTTGGATATCACTTCTGATTGCAGTGGTGGTCCTCTGTGGACAAGATGCCCTTGGAAGTTACTTTTTGAGTGGTTTAAAAGATGGTGTTTAACTTGTAAGGCAAGAAAGACTTTTTGTCTCTTCTTTTGCTGCTGTCAGTTGATTGTCTTGGTGAAATGTAAGCCAGAGCCTTCCTTACTCTCACTTAGTAAAATAATTATTTGTTGGCTCTTAGACACTCTGAGTGAGTCCTTTGGACAGGGCTCATCATCACTGCAGTTAGCCTGGGCTGGGCTGCCTGGGCTTTCACTCTGACTTGGGCTGTTTCTGACTTTCTGGCCCCATCTTAAGTAAAAGATAATCTTGTTCTGCTTGTCCACTGTTACAAGGTTTATTATCGTGCTTGCAGACCAGTATTAGAGGGAATTCTGGGATCACATCCCAGGACGTCCCATTGTCTGTCTGTCCAGCATAAACCTGTTCCCAGCTACACCTGGGGACAAAATCTGGGAGCTGCTTTATTAGCCCATTTTTTTTTAGTGCTGAAAAGCCTGGATGCGTCAGATAAGATGCAGGTATCAAGCAATCTTAGGGGGTTAAAAATTACTTTTGATGGAAATGTTGAATCACATGGATATTAGCATAGCTTGAAATAAGATGGGAAAAATGTTAGCCACTTTATATGCAGTACAGTTGAAAAATAACACACAGCATGGGAGAGTGAGTTAAATAAAAAGCTTTTAACAGCCCTCCTTGCATTCTGTAGATAATGTCTAATGCCAGTTAATATCTTACTCTCATTTTTGACTGTGCCTGTTTTGTCCATGGTGATGGAAAAATATTTTGGCATTTCTTTCCTGAACCTACCGTCTCCTTAGAACTAATGTTACCTTGCTCTTTTTCTGCTTCCCGCTTGTCAGGATTTGGTGGGCTTGAAACTGCAAACTCCACTGCCAGTGGGTTTAATTTTGGGGGTTTCGGATTAACTGCTAATCCTGCAGTGAATTTTAATATTGGGAATTTCGGTGTTTCCACTACCTCAACTCCACCATTCAATTTTGGTAACAGTCTGGCAAGTGCAGGTAGATAATGCATAAATCCTTGTTCTGTAATAAATGTTTGTAGCAGGGGTCCAAGAATTACCTTGCAAACTGGGAATCTGTCTTTAGTACTGATCACCATTTCCAGTGAAGTCCGGGGATAGAATCTCCGGAAAGTGGAATGGGTTTGAGAACTGTAAGCCTGTAGGGTTTTTAACCTATTAAATTCTCAAGAAATAGCTGTTGATACATGAGATTCTTGGACTGCTGCAGTCATGTTCTCCATCTTCCCCCGTGTCTCCTCATCGGCCTCCCGTTGGCTGTCATGAATGCGCTACACCTCTGCGGTCTCTGTGGGGAAACGGGTTTGATACCATCAGTGCGCGATGCACCGCGGCCCTCTCCTCCCTGAACGCCCCGTGCGCTGGGTATCGGTTAAGGAAACCCTTCCCCGAGTGGATCTCTCAGCCCTGAGCTATAGGCTGATGTAATTTCAAGTTCAGTCCTTTCCACTTCACACAAAATGCCTACCTGTATGGGTTTCTATTGCTTTTACTCGTGTCCAGTTAGCCCAAGGGGGTCTCATCATTGCTGCTCGTATAGGAGTTGCACTCATCCTACAGCATCATTGCTCCCTGTGTTAGCATACTCTGACCTGTTCTGTGCACTCAGGGGATCTGGGCTGGGGTTCTTTTTTTTTTTTTTTTTTGGTTGGACTGTTTCTTGATTCAGATTTGAACTACTCCAAAAGAGAACTTGGATATTTAATTTTGCTTAGCAGTTGGCACTCTCAGATAGTTTTTCAGGAAAGACTAAGTTTGCTGTGAGTACAGAACTACCGAAAACTTGTCACCTGAGGGTACTCCCACTAGAGTTTCTCACTGGTGGGTAGGGCCAAAACTTAGTTATAGACAACAACTTATATCCACTGACATCAAGATGTTTGCTAAACAAAAATAAGTCACCTTTTGCTTTAAGCTTTTTATTTTGTATGTGTCCAGGAGGGCAGTAAGTGTAGTAGGTGTGAAGAGACCTTTTGTTTTTTTGCTGTTGATGTGCAAGTTAGTGGCAGCATCTTTTTGACAAATCCTTTATAGCAGACTGCCTTTGTTCATAGGAAAAAAAGCTTGAAACAGAGAGAACTGAGTTCCTTAGGGCTAGTCAGATGTCCCTAGGCTCCTGGTGCCTTGGCACTGCGATAGCACAGAGATGGGGGGGGGGGGGGGGGCGCCGGTGGGGGGGGGGGGGGGGGTGTCCCCCTCACAGTAGCACCTGTCTTGGCACAGCCACACTGTATTGGGCCCCTCTTCTAAGGGGGTAGATGGCAGGATGGGTTTCTCAGGGCTTTCTCTGCCACGGTGGAGCTTGGCCACTCGCTCAGGTCATCCCCTGCTAGCCAGTGGCCGGTTTGCTTGAAAACACCGGGAAGGCTGATTGCTTTTGCATCCGTGTTCCACTGATAGTGTTGGAACCTTGAAAGGAGATGATAGGGAAACTAGGCTTTAAAAAAAAAATACTTTGTAGAATTATTACCTGCGTGTAGGAAGAAATCAGTGCTGTGATAGCTTTCCCCTGTAGGCACAGGAGTTGTGTGCACCCTTGCCTCAGGCTTGGCTTGGTTTATTTCTGGGTTTGCTCCAGAGAGGTTAGGAATGCTTAAAAAGATCATAAAGCATCAGATAATTTGTTAAACACTTAGCAATAAGATGACTAGGAGTATTCCTGAGGGTGAATCTGAGAAACACCATTATTGGTTATGTCTGCCAGTAAGGAAAGCATGTCCTGGTGCTGGGAGGATGGGATGTTAGTGAACTGCTGCTTCTGCATTTGCGCTCTTGACACACCATAGATGTCTTGGCTTTCCGGTTCGTGTTTTCTCCCCCATTTCCTTGGATAATGAACTCGTTACTCATGGTCGCTGTGAACTACATGCTTGTAACATAATGCATCCATCTGTCAGCATCTCTTCTCATGACCCCCCTCAAAGCGTGCTGTTTATTGTCATGTTATGCACAGCTCACAACAGGCTATCTGCCTCACTTGCAAACTTCATTTGTTAGGTGCCTTTGGAGGATTTGGGACAACTACCACCACTGCGGCACCAGCGTTTAGTTTCTCTGCACCCACCAATACAGGCACCAGTGGTAAGAGAGTACAAGCCTGAAAGTATTTGCTTTAGAACTAACTGTAGTTCAATAATGTTTTGGATTGCACAGGTACTATTCTCCTATTTTTCTCAATAATTCTGTGCTTATTTCCCCAGGGCTCTTTGGTGCTACCCAGAACAAAGGCTTTGGATTTGGTACTAGTTTTGGCACCGGAACCGGCTTGGGTAGTGGGTTGGGAACTGGGCTGGGCTTTGGAGGTTTTGGTACCCAGCAGCAGCAGACCAGTAAGTACAGTCTTTGCTTGATGTACCCCGTCCTAGCAACGAAAGCATGAGGCTGCAGCAGGCACCTGAGCAGTGGGACAGAGGCACGATGTAGAAGGAGGCTGTTAACTCATCTCGGCACTGGTGAAGGCTCCTCAGAAGTTGGGCTTTTGAAATGCCCACCTTTGGAGCCCTTGCCTTTTTCTTAAACTAGAGCTCAGGCAAGTTCTTGAGCTTCACCCTTATTCTCAGGGTTTCTGACAACAATGTTCCCTCCTTTGGTTTGGCATTGGTAGGAAGGGTAGTTATGGACTGATGTTGGCAGTCATGGCCTTACTAGAAAGGGGAGGAAACCAGTGTTTAGTTTCCCTGTCAGCTGGATAATGACCAGCTGCAAGCTCAGAGTCCACCAGATTTATCACGACAAATCTGCCCTTTGGATTTAGATATCAAAGGTGTCAGATGATATCATGGATCAATATAGACATCTCAGTTAAAGAAAAAAATTTTCCTTCTGACTAAGCGTTCAGGAACTTCTGTTGCTGATGAAGATTGGGTGTAAAAAGACACTTCTAAAAACCTGATCTTGATTGATAGACGCATTCTGTGCGTTTATACTGCTTCTCAAAATGTGAAGTGGAAGCAGTGGTGCATGTTAGCGAGTGAGTCTGGCTTGGCTGGTAGAAACGTTCATTTGTTCTTCTTCACCCGACACAGCCTTGGGCAGCGGGTTGTTCAGCCAGCCCGCGCAGACGCCTGCCCAGTCCAACCAGCTCATTAACACAGCCAGCGCCCTCTCGGCTCCAACGCTCCTCGGAGACGAGAGAGATGCCATTCTGGCAAAGTGGAACCAGCTGCAGGCCTTCTGGGGAACAGGCAAAGGGTACTTCAACAACAACATCGCTCCGGTGGAGTTCACGCAGGAAAACCCCTTTTGCAGGTTCAAGGTACGGGATTGTTCAGCTGCCCACAGGCCCGTGTGAAGCAGCTGCTCTGCTTGCCGAGTTTCTCGTGGGTGTTAATTCCAGTTTTGTTACTGCAAACTCAGGGACAGTATTTCTCTGGGGAATGTACACAGCTCTGCTGCATAGTAAGGAAAAGGTTTGAGGATGTATAGGTGTTGGAGGTCTGGGTGTTGTTGAGTTACTAGATAATGAGTGCATATATGGATCACAAAATGAACTTTTTTCTATGCTAGCCTGTGAATTGAGCAGGTTTCTGGAAGTGTATTTTAATTTTTATTTGTTTAAGTCCCAATATTACAGAAAGCTTTTAAAATGATCTTCACACCTGAAAGAAGCTGTCAACATCTGGAATAAGAACTTCAGGGTCTTTCTTCATTGCTTTAGAAAACCCTCTGTGAACCTGGCCCATACATGCTGCTGTAAATACCCCTGCATTCTGCATTCCTCTGCCTTTAACCTTGCCAGTGCTACAGCTGACTCGGTTCCTGGCGTGGTATTGTCAGCAGTTCCAGGTCTTCCTTCTCAACAGAGAACCCCTAGGTTTTCATCCTCCACCAGTCACATGCCTACTGACTTTCTTGCTAAGCTTTGGGCTTGAAAGTGGATTTGGGCCAGGGGTGGTAATACCATCCTTTCCCAAGCTGCTGCTTTGGAGTGCAAAGTTTCTAACCTGCATGTAGATTAATACCTAATGAGGACTAGTTTTGACTATGCGCATAGTGGCACTCCTATAAAATCTTTGCAGCAACCAAGTGCCTGCATCATGAATGCTTGGATTCTGTTGCATTTTTAAACATTACCTGGAACGTTTTGTTTATAATCCACCTGAAGGCTTACTGCCTTGGAAGCAGTTGCCTAAAATGGTGTTAAAGTTTTTGGGGCTTTGAAAAAATTGCAAAGTATAAGTTGTGTGATGCAAAATCAGGTATTTTAGGGTTTCATTTATCAAAAGGAGAAATTTCCTTTTTAAGTTAGACAATGCCATGCAGTAAATTTTCTTTTGCTCCTGTGCCTTGAGTACTGATAATGCTGTTATGAATTTGTGTACCTGGAGTGAAATACTGAAAAATTCCACATATGCCAGCAATGAGATACGTCCAAGAGAAATACCAGAGAAGTTGGTAGTGCAGGTATCAGAGCAAAGCATCATAAGCTAGTTGGGTTTATTGCTTCTGTAAGCATCAGACATCTGATAAGGAAATCTTCCCAAAGGGTTTCATGGGTGTTTAAGGAATCCACTTATGCACAGTTCCAGCTTTGAACAAATGAGAAGCATGCAGCCCTTAACTGAGAAAAGTGTGCTTCTGAGTTGTGGAGCTGTTTCAAAAGCTATCTGCTGGTGGCCTTGTGAGAGGACATTTTAAAGGGTGATTGACTTCGTATTTCTGCATCTCGGAATATGTTGTGACTTAAATTTTGAACCAGTTGCTTTGAAAATTAAGGGGTTTAGCCCCTCCCCTTCATGCCACATAAATATGGTTGTGCTAAGTAATATATCCCCAGTTTTTGTTTGTTCATTTGCAGGCTGTGGGTTACAGTTTAATTCCCAACAACAAAGATGAAGATGGCCTCGTTGTCTTGGTCTTCAACAGAAAAGAAACAGATATTCGGAGTCAGCAGCAGCAGCTTGTAGAATCACTACACAAAATTCTGGGAGGAAACCAGACCCTCACGGTCAATGTTGAAGGCGTTAAAACAATGCCAGATGACCAGTATGTGAACTTTATGCAGTTTTGCCTTTTTATGCAGTATTCCATGTTATAAAGGGTTTGCTCTCAGTCTACTCTGTCTCCCTTTGTCTTTGATTTTGGATCTGTTCATCCCCAGTTTGATTTTGCATTTCTCATTCTATGATTCTGTGATTTGCATTGCTTTTTCTACAAGGTGCTGAGTCCAGTGTCTTTCCTGTGTTTCTTACTTGCTTTTACTGGAGCACAGAGCTGAGGATCTCAGGCCTCAGCTCAGCACAGGAAATGGGCTTCTGCAGACCCTGCTCAGCAGCCAAACTTGGAGATGAGGCTGGGTGGGATAAACACTGATTGTTTTAGGAACTGTGAGGTATTCTTCACTACATTTTGCTGCTGCAGAAGGGCATTGGGATGTACAGCAATAGTGTCTGTGCAGCGTCCTGTATTGCAAAGGTTTGTTTTGGTGGGCAGGCTGTTCCCAAGCTGGCTTGTGCACCTGCACTACCTCAGTGTGCTGTCTGCTTTGATTGGTTTGGGGCCTCAGGCTACTCTGCCTTAAGTACTTCAGCACCCAGGCATTTCTGCTTCTTACTTTGCCATTTTTTTTCCATCTGCTTTAAAGACCACAGGTTTTTGGATATTCTTAATATATGACTAATAACATAGTACGGTGGTTAAAGCTTGGGGGGGAGAATGTAATTTTGTAGAGTATTTACAGCTTTTCTCTTTTCTGCCTTGCTGTGCTAACACCTGTATTTGCTGGCTTTATCTCAGTTAGCTAAGGGATGGTAACAGGCAGCTGGAGAAGGGGTAACTGTTTTAGGGTTGTTGTTTATTGTGATAGTTCCCATATGGCCTGATCTTTTCCTGACCGTGTGCATTTTGTCTCACTCAGGACAGAAGTGATAATTTACGTTGTTGAGCGCTCACCCAATGGCACTTCCAGGAGAGTTCCTGCATCGACCCTCCATGCCCACTTTGAACAGGCCAACATAAAATCGTCCCTGCAGCAGCTGGGCGTCAACCTTTCCATGGCCAGAACAGAGTTTTCCCCCGCTCAAGTCAAACAGCTCCTGCAGAATCCGCCTGCTGGTTTGTGGTCTGGGCAGGTGCAAGGGGATGGTTGGGTCTCTGCTGGGGCTTTTTTTGGGTCTCTGGGAAAAGTGCAGTGTTTGGCCTGATGGGAAACACCTTTTAAAGCTACAAGAGTTTCTGGGGCTCTCTGACATACTGACGTTGTGCTTTTAATTACAGTTGGTTTCCCTGCTGAAGTGCAATGCAGTCTACAAAGGCAGTTGTAATTTATAAGTAATACACCCCTTCAGCACCATACTGACTAACTTAGCTAACATAAATCACTTCAACTTGTGCAATTAATAAAAAAAGTTAACTATAGAATAATCTTGTCCTTTACTCACTTCCTAGTGTTTGGGGGGGTCGCTTAGCCTGTATTTGTGACATCAGATAATACATATACAGCTTTGTTTTAGAGCAGTTAAGTGCTGCTTGTGCCACTTTGTAGGATAATTGTAGCTGATTTTCTGTCTGTGGTATTCCACGTAGTACATGCAGGTCATGGTCAGAGAAGGCAGCCTGTCGTTTCCAGCAGCCAGTATGTAGCCTGTTCAGTGAGACCTCAGTGTCTAAAAACACAGCAAAGTTTATGGAATCTGGATTGCAAAAAGAACCCAGCCTGCCCTTGCAGAACACAGAGACAAGCAGCCGTGCTTTCCACCTGCTGCAGCTCTGGGGAGAAGTAGCTGCTCTGTGCAGGAGTACTGGAGGTGTATCCTAAGGCCTCTGTAATGACGGCTGGCTATAGCTCCAGAGTCCGTGACTGAGAAGCTGAGTTTGTAGGCTGGCTAATCAGCAGCAAGATGTGCAAGGAGAGGTGTTAGTGCTGAGGTCAAGTCCCACCCAGAGAGATGAGTTTTGAAACGAAGACAATAGTTTTATGAGGAATGAGCTAGAATATTGTGGAGCCAAGAATGTTACGGTAGGCAGCTGCTGCCTTCCTCTTTAGGCTGACTTGAAAGTGTTAAACTACCAGAACTTTTTTTTTTTTTCTTTTAATGTCTCTCTGATCAAAAAGTCAATTGCTTCTCTGTCAGTGTTGTCTTTTTTTGTTGTGCATTTAATAAACCAATCAGATCAACAGTGAGGTTTGGAGAATGTAATAACTTTCATTGTGATGTTGATGTTCATGTACAGTTAAACTGCTTTTATTTGACATAACTACCTGATGAAGCAGTTCGTGGCAAAACAAGTAACTGTTTTGTCAACAGATAAAAAATCCATGGCCAGATTTTGTCAGCAACCATGATAATTCTTACCAGGATTATTTTGCCAGCTGGTTTGGTGCTTTGATCACTTAATTATTGATTGTTTTAAATTTTTTTTTTAGCACAATAAGCATCTTGAAGAGGGAAGATGAGCCAAGCGTAGCGTACAGTGGCAGCAGTAGAAGTTTTTCCTGTTGAAGTACAGATCGTCCAGTTCAGTCACCTATGGGTTGTTCTTTTCCCATGCTTTCAAACCAGTAAAAGTGCTTAAAAGCCTCTTGGACTGAACTTACTGCCACAGTCCAACACCAAGACCTTTAAGAACTATGCCTGTTTAATTAACCTTAATTTATGTAGTAGCCCTTCAGGTTAGCATAGTTCATTGAGTCTGTTTCCTAGTATTTTTCCTGCTTAACAGCTGTAAGACTGATACCTGTTCTCATCTATCCACACTAAAAACTTGTTTGTTTGGTGTTTTTAAGGTGTTGATCCTATTATATGGGAACAAGCCAAAGTTGATAATCCTGATCCTGACAAGTAAGTCTAATAGTCTGTCTGAATATTACAAAAAAAAACTTTGAAAGGGAGGAAGTATAGATTATTGTCTAGTAGCCTTCAGGTAATTTGCAAGACATATATTAGAGAATAACTTTGTCATGTGTTGATCTCATTTGAAGCAACGAGGATTACCAAAAATGCCTCTCTAATCCCATTACTCATCCAGGTGCTTAAGGGTTGTCAGGATCAAGAACTTTACTTGGCTTACTTCAAGTTGTGGTGTCCTCCATTACAAGGACTAGTTACTGTGACTTACTTTTTGCAACCATTGTGTTCTTGTTATTCCTGCAGCTGAAAGGGGTGTGACTTTGTACCCTCCAGTAGTTACAGATAACTTAGGTTGATTTCCTTATGAAAAAAGGAGGAGGTTGTTAGGAATAGTGAGAACTCTAGAACTTAGCAAAACAAGATACATTTATATATTATCTTAATTTATGTTAGGCCAAGATTGTCTGTAACTTTATATGAGTTTATATTTGTAATTATTAATCCATACCTCATGTCCAGTCTAAAAGTGTGTTATACAAAATACTTGTATTCTTGTAGGCTTATTCCTGTGCCAATGGTGGGTTTCAAGGAACTGTTAAGAAGATTGAAGGTCCAAGATCAGATGACCAAACAGCATCAAACTCGATTAGATGTAAGGTTTCTCATCTTTATTGTGATTGGTTGCTGCTGATGAAGGAAGTTCTGTTAAATGAGCTTCCCCCTGTGCCTTCTGTGCGTGGAGAACTGAAACTGGACCCATGTGCATGGGGCTGTGACTCTGCATCACAATTTATTTAATATATTCCTTAATTATTTCTTTTGGCCAAAACATGAGCAGTGCCTTTTGGCTTTTATTTTTTTGGGGTTCAAGCTTGCTGCATTGTTACAGGCTAATACAAATCAGCTAAATTAAGTTGTATTGACAGGGACTCTAATTTGGGCAGCCGATTTTCTAATGCCTTCCCAGTAGTGTATGAAAATAGATATAAATCAGAACAGTAGAGGTCTAGCAAAACACTTTCTGAAAGCATCTTTGGCAAGGACACTGAAGTTGCTGGCCTCAATATTGTTCTTAAACTCACGGTTTCCAATCGGCACTAACATGTTCTGTTAGCAGAAACTTGTATGACTTCTGACTCCCATCTCCTCTGCAGATAATATCAGAAGATATCAGTGAGCTGCAGAAAAACCAAACAACAACTATGGCAAAAATTGCACAGTACAAAAGGAAGCTGATGGCGCTTTCTCACAGAACGTTACAGGTAATGTGGATGAGGCACAGTCTAGTGGCAGAAAACAGAGAGGAGGGCGTGGGGTGACCTGGGCTATCCTGTGTGCGGCCACTGAAAATTAAATTCTGATTTCACCTAAATGATGCTGATTTAAGTAACAGGCAGAGCTGTTGGGGGAAGCTTCACATGTGCAGCATGTCTTACTACTTCAGGAACCTTTGGGCTCAGAAGCTGTGGGACTGAACAAATCTTATGAGAAACATGCTGGAGGAAGGGCAAAAAGACATGGCTGGGCTGGTGGGGAAAGAGATGGGCAAAGTCTGCTCTAATGAACTTGAAAGGCTTTTTTTGTAGGTGCTAATAAAGCAGGAGATCCAGAGGAAAAGTGGTTATGCCATTCAAGCAGATGAAGAGCAGCTTCGTGTCCAGTTAGATACAATTCAATGTGAACTTAATGCACCTACACAGTTCAAGGTGAGTAGCTAATACAGCTTTGCCAACAGCTCTGATTTTCCCCTGCTGATGACTGTACGTTTTCCAAACCATGCGTATCTGTTTGTTGTGGAAAGCTTTCAGAAGAGAAGTCCAGCAGTGTAACTAAGTTAGAACATCACACTCTGCTGCACAGCTGCTAGGTGTCTTAAGTATTTTTGAGTTCTTAGAAGTATCAGAGTTTCTTGTTCTTTTTTTTTTTCCTTTTTAAGAAATGCTAAGGAATAAGTAGCTGTGCTTCCTGCCTTGGTGACTGGAGGAGTGGAGCATGCTGGGGCTTTGACAGATGCACATGAATGTGTTTGATTGAAGCCTGTTTCTCTTCCCAGGGCAGACTGAATGAGCTTATGTCCCAAATCAGGATGCAAAACCACTTCGGAACAGTGCGGGCTGAGGAGCGCTATTACATTGATGCAGACCTCTTAAGGGAAATCAAGCAAGTAAGTATTACAGAATCCTGGGATACTCTTGGAGCTTCATAGTTTAAGCCAGCTATACGCTAAGTTGGCAGATGTATCTGGAATGACCTGTTTTGGTAGTTGTTTGATGCTGAAGTCCTTTTTCCCATTCTCAGGGACAATGCATCAAGGTGTTGTACAAAACCAGCCTATGTAGTTAGGCATAGAAAAGCTGGTTTGCCAGAAACCAGAAATTAAGCTGTGCTTTTTCAGTGTGCCCAGGCCACTGGCTGTGGCACCTTTGAGAAATACTACTTAAAAATCTGTGAAGTTGAACTGTGCTCATGTGGGTTTTTAAACTATCTGCAGCATCTGAAGCAGCAGCAAGAAGGCCTGAGTCACCTAATAAGCATTATAAAGGATGACTTGGAGGACATCAAACTTATAGAACATGGGCTGAATGAGAGCATTCCCATCAGAGGGGGAGTCTTCAGCTGACGTGGTGGATGCTTCTGGGCTTACACAGAACATGTTACTCGAGTTCATGGTTCACCTTCCAAGGCTAAAACTGTTGAGGTAAAATAAAACACGTATCTTCTAGGAGCAACGGTATTTTGGCTGTTATCTTTAGAATTAGCAAAGCCTCTTCTAAGCTTTTGAACTTGACCTTTGGAAGGTTTATATTTTATAAAGCTCTATATGCTTTAATAAAAGAAGGAAAACTGAATTTGTTCAGATACTGGTTTACTACAAAACTATATGTACTATTGTACATTTTTTTTCTTTTTTTTTTACAACAGCATTGTCCTAGAAATGCAGTGCCAAGGGAGTTGTTCTGCTTGTGACTTGATTTGTGGAAAGCTTAGCCTGCTTCCATGTTTTTGTCAAAACAATCAAGTAACATCATTATGTAAACAGCTAATTGAAACCATTACAGATATGTATGTTGCTGTAATTGTGTCAGTCTCTGCAATACCTGTAGTTTACTGGGGCAAGCTGCAGGAAGTTTGGTTCCAGTTTATGTCCTTCCTTTGGAAAGGATCTGAGGGTTATGTTTTTTTCTCACTTTACATATGTGAAATACACAAAGCTTCTCTGCCCCTTGACAACAGAATGTCTAGATCTTGTCTTCTGCCTTTTTCTAATTGCCAGAGAGTAATAAATTCAGTCTGACTTTGTAATAACTTGTGCACGGTGTTGGCTCCTTCTCAGCTACAGCAGCAAGTGTGGGACTGCTGACAACCCCGGGTTAAGGCACATGGTTCTCCATCAGGCCTGCAGGTGCCAGGCTCTCAAACCCATGCATGGCAGAGTTGACTGTACCACATGAGATAAAAATGTTGCTTTTTTTTTAACTCTGCAAACATTTCAAATCACCCACCATAATTGTACCATGCTTTGAAAACTTCTTGAACACACAGCATTGGCACTCTCTAGCAGGGGTGCTTCTTGGTCTACTGCCCTGGTCTTTGAAAAACAACTAATCTCAGCAGATTTCTTAATAAATCCCCCTGCTAGATACAGTTTTGCATGTGTGAGATGTGCAGTGGAGCAACACTTCAGAAAAAAACTGTTTAGTAGCTTCAAAAGTAGAGAACAAACTTATACAGCAAAGAAACAACAGAGGGGGAAGTGGGTATTGTTGCAGCACTGCTGCTGTGAACAATGTTGACAAACTAGAGGAGGCAGGAACAGCCCAGAACCAGCAATGTAGAAAAAAACTGTTTATTGAAAGGAAAGCTGGGCTCTAGCAGTTGCTACCTGGTAAAAACACCGCCTGCAAGAAATACCTTCACTTCCATTTTACTACATGTGAATAGACCAGTGGCATTTCATCACATGCACCAACAAGATAAACTAAATTGCATCTTCCCTTTGTGCAGGAACTTCTACTTGCCACACAGCCCCTTTATAAAAATGGCCAGAGGTGAAGCTCAGCTTGCCTATTTAACCCATTGCCTTCCACAGAGGGGTTGCAGCAGTTGGCTACGGCGGGCGCCGAGTGCAGGCAGGAAGTGCTACAGGTACCTGCTTTCTCTTCCCCTGTGTTGCAGCCGCAGGCGCCTTCTGCGGCGAGGTAGGAAGCGTTCCCCCTGGCTCTGCAGACAGTCAAGGCATTGGAGAGGGCAATCTCACCAGGTTCTCACTACTGTGACTGTTTGACAAGGCGGAAGGCTTCTAGGAACTCGTTGAAGTCGATGTTGCCATCCTTATTGAAATCAATGCTGCGAACCAAATCGTTGATGCCCTCATCCGTGAGTTCAATGTTCATGTGGGAGCTGAACAGCTTCCAGGTTTGGTGGAATTCTTCAAATGAGATGAGACCTGTGGAGAAGGAAGACACAGCCACCTCAGCACAAGATCACCACAAGTGCAGCTGCCACTCGGACCCTGCTCAACTTTGCTCTCTCCTCCCACCCCTGCTGCCTCCATTCCCCAAAGGAAGGGAGGAAATCACTCATCACCTTCATTTCACATACTGGAGCTAAATTTCCTAGCATGAGAACTCTGGCTGAAATAAAACTTAAAGCAGTAAAGAGACATAAGACAATTTGTGAGAACAAAATAAGGCAAAGACTCTTGTATTTTCTCTTTCCCAAAGTAATTTAGTGGCGATGACTGCTTGAGAGCAGGTAACACTCTAGATCCTGAGTATGGTGCATTGCTGTCATTTATCTCATCACAATTTCTGTTCTGCTGAACTCCTCCAGAACTCAATAATCATTAATTCTCTACCTTCAGAATGTGTCATGTTTGTGGAAACATGCAGTGATATTTCAAAAGCTCTTGAGGGAGAAGACTTAAGGTTTAAACCATTCAAAAATAATGTTGTTGTACATACTAAAGGGAGACCCAAAGTAGAGCGGGCTGCAGTGATCCACGCCTCCTGCTTACCTGAATGATCTCTGTCTATGATCCTGAATATGGTCTCCAGGTTGGATCTGTTCCGATAAATGACTTCCAGCAAGCTCGACTGGATGTGCTGCAAGACAACGGGGTCAACGCTCCTTCTACCCTTCTGACAGCTCTCTGCTTTCTCTGAGCAGTTACTGCACACCTCCATACTACAAATATTTGCTGTGTGCCTAACAAAACACATTTATGGTGACTGGACCCTCAGTGCAACTCTGCATTAGGGCACGTCTGAAACCTCCCGTCACTTCCAAACAGCTTTTCAGGGTTTACAGAGCAGACAGTGGCTTCAGCTACAGTTTTTAACTACTGCATAGTTTTGCTGGTGTAATCAAGAAACTGCAACTCAGAATGGAATGTAGTTTTCCTACTCAAAAGCCTGCATCCAAAACTACCTTGGGTTTTGATTTCACATGCGTCATCAATTTCCACAGCGGACTGCCTGCCTCTGGACTACTTGAATTCATGCAAGCTTTTCCACTGACTTTGATATCATTTTGAATTACACCAGAACCATCCCTTCTCCTTTTGTACCTTTTTTTCATACTTTTCGTGGTTCCACATGCTGGGGATTCGGTGAGCTGCTTTGTGTCAGGCTTTGAGGGCAGGGGATGAGTCCTTACCTCTCGGCTCCGCTGCTCCATGGCCAAGTCTTCGAGCCAGGACCGGTACTCCAGCACGCCGTCCACGGCGCTGCGCACCAGCTGCGGCCGCAGCATCCGCCAGGGCAAGCCCAGCCGCAGCACCGACTCCACGGCTGTCGCCCAGCTGCTCAGCGTGATCCTTCCTGTAAGGAAGGGGGAGAGCCACAGAGATCTCTGAGACTCAGGCAGCTGAAAGCCCGTGAAGGCAAAGCAAAAAGTCTAGAGCAGTATGTAAATGTAGTGTACCACGCTGCTGACAGCAACAGTGCTATTTCTCCTTGAGCATTTAGGAAAAAAAATCCTACGTGGCTGTACAAGCGCCAGGCACAAGAGCACCTGCTGCTCCCCCCAGCCACAGCAAGCTTCTGATGGCTGCAACAAATCACAGCCAAGGGGCTGCAAACATCTGAACAACAGAAAGACACAAACTTTGGGTATTTCCTTATAAATGTGTGGCCTACAGCTAGGGCCATTCTGCAGATCGTGGCCTACACCACTGCACTGGTACTTCCTCAGTGACCCAGGAGCATGAAAAAGCCTCTAGTTTAGGACTTTTGTGAACAATTTTGCTAGGGAAGAAAGCGTGAAAGCAGTTCTGCCAGCTGCTGTGTCCCTTTTCTCCCCTGGCCCACAAATGGACAGATCTCAGCAGCACATGTTACTCACTGCACCAGCAGAGCACTCCTGTCAGCCAGAGAATTAGGAACTCTCAGTTCTGACATAAAGCTCTGACAGACAGCTGCCATGCAGGACAGCCCTCACTTTTCCCAGTCATTTTAGACACCAGGGATGAAAGGGCTCTAGAGACTAGACAGCCCTTCCCCAGTGACACATGACAGATATGTTTCAGGTCATCTTTTTCCAATGCTTCATCAGTACTCCTGACCCAAAGGTTGTCCTAGTACCAAGCCTAAGTGGCTGCATGCTAGGCTCATCACCTCTTGCCCCAGCTCTGGGGCATTAACAGGTTCCCAGCAGAGAGACTGAATAACAGCCAACAGGAGCAATGCTCTGGCATTGTCTGACGTAGCCTGTTCCTATGAGCTGATGATGATGATCAGCGAGGTGTCTCCCAACCAGCCGCACACGCAGCTTAGACACTTGAAATGTTGGGGTTTGAACCCCGAGCCCCCGAGTTAAGGTTGACATATGGGTGATTCCCACAGCCCTTCATAAAGAGGTGGTGAGTTTGCCTTATAGCTTCCCCCCAGGGTGCGGCCGGCCCTGCAGGGAGAGCCATAAGGGAAATGAGCCCCAGGGGTCCCGCATTGAGTTGACAGAGGTCAGGTGTCTGCTTGGGGATAAAAGCTGGGACCACTTGCAGGGAGTCAGGAGTGTCTGTCTGTGGAGTGCACTCCCCAGAGCTTCCTGGTTCAGGGCAGACCTCCTGACTCTCCCTGGAGGTGGGCCCCAGTCCGTTTAGGCCTTTGCGAACGCGGGTCGATCGGGGTAGAGTTGCCATGTGGGCACCTTTTTCTTATGCGTTTAGCTGGCTTGTTTGGCTGTTTCCCATGCCAACTATGGGCAACCTCGGGTCACTGTTTGTACCACCTGTTGTGGGCCGGGTCATGTCGTTTGTGGGATCGTTGGGGGTGGCGTCGATCATATCTGAGCTTGTTGACCTGTTTGTACCCCCGGCGGTCATTCATATAGTAACATTTCTGTCTACAATACAGTCTGCATATTGGTTCATCTCCCTGCTGGTACTATCATTTTTGTTGGGCCTGGTCATTGGCAAAACGACACTTCAATCCTTGTCTGACCAGGGAATTAACCCGGGTGTCCCTCAGCTCAGATTTACCCGTGTTGTCCGTATCGTAGGCCTTGAAGGCGGTGATGAGGGCTGAGGTGTGAGCAAAGAGCTTTTCCCGCAAGGCTCGAAAGGCCGACTCCTCTACTCTGCTGATTCTGGAGGATGCAGAAAAGAGAGAAGAACATTAAGGAATTGCCACAAAGTGCAAGAGAAACTGCACCTTTCCAATCCTTCCTCTGACCTGTCCATGGATTGCTCAGACCCTTGCACAACTGCTCTGTGCAGCTAACACTCATATCCCCCTCTGATCTTGATCAAGCCTTGAGCCTCCCTCAGTCATTTCCATGCAAGTCTTGAATCCTAGTGTTATTAATTAGTAAATCCAGCCATGAAAGTTCAACTCCAGAGTCAAACTTTCTCAAAGCTTCAAAACTTTTCCCTCTCTGTTGGAATTTTGACTTGGTGAACACAGAGCAACCAGAAAGCCTTGCCTTTGGGTCATGGTGAGAGTATGGGCTGTCTTGTTTGCTTGGTACTGAACAAAATGGGGGATGAGGTCTGGTCCCAGCTTCACGTAGGCTCCCCTGTTGCTGCCAATCTCATAGTAGTTTGAGGCTGAAAATATGGTCAGCACCTAATGCCCAAAAAGAGAGGCACTTACAGTCAGTACATAGATCATCTATTTTTTATAGATATATCAATGAAAACAACACTGGGGGGACAATGGCGCAAACAAGTTCTGACCTTTTCTCAACTACCGTACACAAGGATGTCCTTGGCCTGCACAATGCATGCCCTCAACAGAGCAGGTAGCTCCAGACTGTCCTGCCCTAAGACCTCAGCTGGGAACACACTCCAGTAATTCCCAGTAAGGCTGTTCAACAATTTTGCATGTGCTTAACAAAGTCCTGCTGGAAGAAATGCAGAGCTGGGACAAGCCGCCACGGAAACTCCGCCCTGGCAGGGTGGAAAGCCAAGTATCCTTCACACCACCCTGGTCACTGACCTTCCGGTTGTGACAGAACTCGTAGCCCTCTTGCTTGCACTCGTGGGAGCGGATGAGGAACTGCAAGTTGTACTTCGCAAGGATCTTCGCTGTCACGTCAGGCCCAAAGTAGCAGCCACCACCTCGCACTGTATTTACTCTGCAACCCTCCTGAGGCATGGGGTCACTCCAGAGAATGTCTAAAATCTGCAAGGATTGGAAAAGCTCACTGAATAAAGTGTACCTGGCAGTACCCATTATAGCTTACTAAGCACATGTATCTCTGAATCCCTCCCTGGACTGCTGCTATTTACCATAGTGCAGGGAAACATCCACTTCCTGCGTCCCAGGTGATCTGCCGTACTGTGACCAGGACTGTCATAGGCATGGTCCACCAGAGGTGACAATACTGTTGGCCAGGAGCTACAGGCACACCTAAAGTGCCTCGGGGAAGAGGGATGTCCATAAATTGGGCCTGACACAAGCTTTGCCTGTGCTGCCTCTAAGGTTTCAAAGAGCCTTGCCAGTCCTCCATCTCAAAGCACACAGGTCCAGGGGCAAGAACACCCATCAGATCCTGAGGCTATGAGCTGGCTTAGTATTAAACTCCTTTGCTCTCTAGCCAGGACATCTCACAGCCTCCAGAAGTGTAAGTAAATGTTGACTCAGCAACAACTATTTGGATTAAAGTTTAATCTCTTTAACCCTGACCTCAATATATAGTTTTATGCTGATAAGGTGTGCCATGCTGGGATGTCATATGGAACCCAAACTAAGGAATGATGGCTTCAGGGCGCCCAGAAGGGGCTTGCAGACAGACTGGTCTAGCACAGACAGGAAGCCAAGTTCCCAAGCTCTGACTTGCCTCGCAGTCCACTCACAGTGCAACCCAGCCGAACCCACAAACTCAGTCTGCTCTTGGTACCCAAGATCATGACTCACCCATCAGCACGTGACGTGCTCACTCCTTACCTGCAGATCTGACTTCACCATACAAAGCAGGAGAAAAATCTCTCTGCAGACAGCTCTAGGCACTGACTGACATATTTTGTACTGAGATTCCTCATAATGGAGAGCAAGCCTGCAGGAGGCACCCACTGCCCATAGAGCTCAGGGCCACGCTTAGACTCCTCACCTGCTTCCACTCCTCCTGGCGAGTCCAGCATGGCCCGTCCAGGTCCGTCAAGGAGACCACGCTGGAATAGGTGGGCTCCTCCGGCTCCGACTCGCTGATGTCCACCAGCCGGCGGCACCACTCGATTTGCTCCTGCACTGTCTGCCGGACCCACCTGGAAAACTCCAGCCTGTTGGCCACGCTGGGGGCCGGCGCCGGCCGGGGCTGCGGACATATGCTGGGTACTGCCTCGGGCCCTGCTGGGTCAGCCTCTGCTTTGCTCTCCCCGTTTATTTCCTGTATCTCCACATTTCTATTCAACTCCTTTCTTTTCTTCCCTCTTAATACAGAAATAAACTGAAAGAGGTAAGAGAGAAAAGAGAGCTGGTCACACTGCTTGGAAACTTACATTTCCAGCTCTAACACCTTCCATCAGCAGCTGTCAAATGACCCAAGCCTCTGAGCCTCAATTCCCTTTGCTGATTAATTGTGGGGGAAGACCAGTGCCATCCTCTCAGATGTGCCATTCTTGGTTTGCAGCTGGGGCCCCACATCCATCCTGACTACAGTTCCATCTCTTCTTCACTGACTTTATGCTGCTCAGACATTTCACAAAAGGCAGAGTATGTGGATTTAAGCTGCAGTATGAACTAGGCAACAGAATGAGGGAAGGACTAATGACAAGTGCTTGTTATTACATCTGGAGAAGAGAAGTAGTAGTTTACAACTAGAAAGTGAGACAGACACAAGTTAAACAACTTAGCAAAATCCTTCTGGAAATCTAGGGGGGAAACCTGGCTGAGGAACTGGAGGGCGAAGTCTCATCATCACTGTGTTTTTAGTAAGTGCCAGCACATCTATCTACCCATGCTGTTGTCTTCCACTACGCTGGCTACAAGCCTTACGTCTTCCAGAAGCCGAGAATGTTTCTTCCCTTCACATACGCTGAAACTGAAGCGATCCACTCCAAGCTTCTACCTAAACACAGTTTCTCTAGGAAGACCATCCTTCAGATTTGTCTGTTAAACAGCAAAGCTGACGTGTAGAAATAAGCTCCTCACCACAAATCCGCAACACTGTTTTTTCTCGTAGTATCCAGGAAATAAAACCTACTTTGTTCCTTTGAATTTTCTCAAGCATGTCCAGATCAGTGGTGTCAGAGATGCCCCCGTGTATAATGAGGACTTTCTGATCAATCAAGGTGGCCAGGGGAAGCCAGCAGAAGACATTCTGAATCATCTTCAAGATTTTCTTTCCATGCACCTAGGATGGGTCAGAAAAGAAAAGATGAAGCATTGAGCCTTCACAGTCCACCACTCATGTGGTAAAGGAGACATAATCATACGCCTACCTTGTATTTCTGCATTACTTCCTTGGTGAAACCATAGCTGAAGGAACAGGAGAAGAAGTTCAGCAGGCTTTCACAGCGACACCCTTGACATCGTGATCAGCCCCACACAGAACCCATACCGTAAGTTGACCATGTGGTCCTCATGGTTTCCACGGTTGAGGTGAACCTCCTTTGGGTAGATCAAGAGGAAGGTAAAGAGGATGATGAGGATCTCAAGGGACTGTTTGCCTCTGTCTACGAAGTCCCCGTTGAACACATAGGACTTGGAAGGGGACGGAAGGCCATTCTGTAAAAGGAAGGGACAGGCAGATGTTATGAGAGAAGCCTCCCCGTTTCCCTGTCACACATACCACACACACTCCTCCCAGATGCACGTTCTCTCGCTCCTGCCCCAGCTCACCTTATTCATTAGATCCAGACTCTTATTTTTATCCTGTAGGCTCCCAGTGGCAAACGCACTGGAAAGCAGAAGCTGGCAGTCCGGAAGGGTTGTTATTGGTATCAGCACTTACAAAATGTCCACTGGCACTTCCCAAACTTTACATATATATCAGATTTCGAAGTCAGCAAGGGAGTAAGCTGCTGCTTCATGAACCCATTTCAGACCCACCAAAGTGTCCTAGACAATGGTACGTGAGGGCCCGGTTTTGCAAGAGCTTCTCAGCGTGACCCATGCGATACCTCTCACACTGTCTGGCCAGCCTCCCTCTCCAGATACAGTGCCTACCTTGTAAAATATGAGGAACAAGTCATCCAGCTGGCCGTGCAAGTCTCCTATAGGGCACAAAAAGACAAGTCACAGTATGTTTAACTTAAAAAGACAACAATAAATAACCTCTTATGAAGTAGCTCCTTTGTAAATTAAAGACCACTGAAATATTTTGGAAGTGCAAGGTACAAGTTTCTTTACGCTAAGGCAATGTGCCCAAGGGTGGAAAAGGGTCATGAGGTAAAGGCTTGAGCTAAAGCCAAGGACAGCAAAAAACTGACACCAGCTTCTAAAGACTCTGATTCAGAAGCTTTGATCATTTATCTCTTGTGATGACACAAGATGGCACAAGAAACTGACTTTGATCGTAACACAGGAGAAAGCTTTGCATACTGAAGTAATAATCAAACTAAATTATCATTTAATACACTATTGGAGAGACAAGTTTATTTTCCAGAGGCTGACTGCACACACAGGTCTGTGCTGAGTACATATTTCTCAGAAATATCTACTCTTTAAACATTAGTCCTAGAGTAGTAAAATAGTGGTGAAAACTTTGTCTCTTTCAAATTTACTTAACAGGACACAAAGACATGTTAGTAGCTGCAGGCCTTTGTTGTTTAAATAATCCCAGGCCTCAGAACAGGACAGAAAATGACAAGAGCTTTGAGGCCATTCCTCACCTGGGTGCAGCTTCTGTGGTTTAGTAAAACGACTCCAAGTTTGGGGTGACTGAACATGGACAAATTTAAAACCAGCTGAAAAATTCTCTAAATCTTTGCTGTGATGTGTAACAATTTTAAGAGCCACAGGCCATCATTATCACCTTTCATCTCCCCTTAGACAAGCATATATGTCGGTTTAAGTCTTTCCTGCCCCTTCCACCTGAGCGCTCTGCCCCAGAGACTTCGTGGTGCTCTCCCAGCCAGACATACCGCACACGGTGACCTCCTCACTGTAGCAGGTGGAAACGTGACTGATGTTTGGCAACTGCTTGAGGTGCTTCCTAGTCTCATGCAGAAGGTTTAAGACATAGCGAGCGTGGAGCTGCTACTAGGAGAAAGCGAAGGGATTAAAGCAGGAAATTAGTGACCTCTGAGCAGCAACACAGCTCTGTCTGCAAAGGCCCCACCACGATAGCCTGGATGGCAGAAACACTAGGACAACCTATGGGCTTACAAACAAGCTGAGGCAAATATTTGGCGACAGCAGGACAGAAGAGACTCACTCAAAGCAGCCCAGCCTCAGCGCTGGCAGGGCTGGCAAGAGACACCAAAAGCCAAGAGAACCCTAGCAACCGGTGGTCAAGGCTGTAGCCTCTAGGCAACAGAAATTCCAACCCAATATCACAGGTAAGAAGCTGCTTCTTTAGATCTTTCTTACCCTTTTCCACAGGAACCCAGGCCCTGAGCTGCCATGTGTCCTGCAGAAATATGTGCACTCAAAGCCAGGGTGTAGGCTTTTAATATTAGTCAAGACTTTAGAGACCTTGGTTTTAGAAGTAATTTTGTTTGTAGAGGGGATGCTCTGGCCTATTTGCAGTTCAGCACCTTGACTGAGGGATGGCAGCAGAACGCTACAATTTTACGAGTTGTCTTGTTGGTGCTGATGAATTGGTACTGGAGCTTCTCATCAGAAAACTCACATTCTACATTTTAAATACGAGTCAAGGTTGCATGGCACAAAACAATTTTCAACAGGTGTTTCCATCTTGGCCATCCTGTACTTTTTTTTTACAAATTGAGGAATCACAGCAGGAAATGTCAGAATATTTCCATGTGGACTGTTGTGGGTTTTTTTTCCCTTTAAAAGTGAAATTCAGGTTAATATTGGCACACATCTATGAAAAGTTTTCAGTTTTGTCAAAACTACTTACATTTTTTTCATAAAGGAAAAAAGTTCTTATAGCAGGGGGAAATGTTCACCAGATCATTTCCATCACCCTTTGCTTAAACAGCCTGCCAGCTGGTTATATTGCAATCAGCTTAGCTTATTAGAAAGTCTAAACTCAAATTATCTATCCTACAACCCTGCAGAGAGGAGTGGTTCCCTTCTGGGATCCTTACTTGTTTCTGTTTGAAAGCTTCCAGCAAGGCAGTCGCATGGTCAGGGAGGAGTGGGAAAGAGAGACGTGGTCCAGTGTAGGAGTCTGGCACCTCCAGGGATTCGTAGTCACAGTATTTTTCCAGCTCTGCCTCTTTGAAGCTTTCCCCACTTATGAACATGCGACTGATAAAATCCCCTGGATGCCAGATTGGGCAGATTGATGTTCATTGTTTTTTTTTAAAAAGGAGAAAGACAAGAAAAAGTTAAGTTGGCTCAATATACCGTTCTAGTAATTTGCTAAAGAAAAGCAAATTTTTTTGGAAATTTGTATAAATATGCATTTTTTTTATTGCTGTAACATCTCAAAGCCCAACTGAAGGAATGGGATGTTACTATCCTGTTTTCTATAGACAACACAGAAAAAAAAAATCTTCCTCAACAGAGCTTTGCTGTAAAACACATGGGGTGGCAGTGAGAAAAAGGTGGCAGTTTGAAAGGAAGGAGCGAGGACTTGAGCAGGTTATGATCAGGAAAGTAAATAGTTAATTTTGATTTACTGCCATCAGATTTCAGAGCTAAGCTCATTAGCAAGTTCCCAGCACTAAGAAATAACATATAATGGGCTCTGCCGAATCAGGAAGATACTGTATGGATTCCCACAGCATTTGTCCCCACCCCATTTATAAGTGAGAGACCAGATATAAATAAATTGATCCCCTAGAGCACAGTCCCCTGAAGATAGATTCAGCTGCTTCAGAAATGAACTCTGCAAAGCCCTGGTTACCAAAAAGGCCAATTTCTAATACTATTCTTAAAAAAACATACTGAGCTTTATTCCCCTTTCCAGCTCCTAAGGAACAGGAGTTGCCCCAAATCCCTCACACCGCTCTGACAGTCTCCAGACAGTTCTCTCCCTATCCAAAAGTCCTGAAGCCATCACTCTTCAGGCTCTCTCTTTTGGCCCCCTTTGGCATCCTGAAGGGCCAGCACTGGGAAACAAATCAATACTGGGTGCAACCTTCTGAGCTGCTGGTGCCGCGTCTATGAACAGCACGTAGAAACTTACTCTCTTTACTGCTGCTCGGCGTGAAGTGGTCCATGAGGTAACTGAAGAAGTTGTGAAGCTGAAAGAAGAGAGAGGGCCCACCATCATTAACCATGGAATTCTGCAGAGCAGCAACTTCACATGATCTTCCCTAAACCATGACAGCACCTTACCTTGATCTGATCCTGCTCACATGCGTACTCAATGGATTGGAAGATCCTCCAGGTGCAACGTCGGCGCATTTCCAGCCGAGCAACGTGGCGCCGATACCACTGTTGGATCAAGACAGCTGCCTTGAAAGCTGGGGGACAAAAGCAGAACCTGAGGCTACACAAGAAGCTTGGGAAAACAAGACACTGAGTCCCCTTCCAGAGCCTTAAAATATGAGGTTTTTCTACCCTTAAGCCAAACAAATATCTCAGCTTTTGCAGTTCTTGACTTTTTTATTGTTATTTGCAGTTCAGGAAGGATCTATTCTAGTATAAATGTTAACATATTATTACCTTAGAAAAAATTAAAAAGAAAATTAACACCAGCAATGAAAAAAGGGAGTTAGAATTTTGGCTGTTTAATGATGTGGAATGAAATGCCAGGAGTTTCCAGGTGCCTTGTCATGATTCAATCCACAGCTAGCACCGGCACTGGGTCATTCTCTCCAAATGATGGCTCTTTGCCCTGGTTGTGAAGACATAACCATTCCTCTGCATTTCCCCAATTCCTGCGTTTTTCATTAAAAGATTGTCTCACATGGGGCATGTGCATATTTAAAGTGAAATACCTTGATGCAGTTCCCCATTTCCTTTTTTAAGTTCTGCCACAGAACTGTATGTGCCTCTAGAAACTCTTCCATCTACAGGCTGGCCCAAAACCCAAAGGGAGATGACAAAGTTACAGGGTTGCCCTGCTGCAGAAGCTCATATTGCTTGGCAGCTGGGTTGTGAGAGCACTGCCCCATTCACCAAAACAGGAAGAGCAATGGTGGCATGCGGGGGTGGAAAAGCTTTATAAAAAGAAGGAAGTCCCTCACCCCTACCCCAAAGGCTGCTAAGTGCTGGGAAGAGACAAAGAGATCACATTAATACAATTAGCTTGCATTAATTATATAACATAAACCACCCTCCAGG